TAAACAGTTCACTTGTTTTCTTTTGGGGGGTAATTAACAGTTCACTCATCTAGAAAGCAACAATATTGCCAAGACATTGGTGGAATCTTCAAGTGCGCTTCGTTTGGTTGAGGATTTCATGGCATGAATGAGATGTGTGTTTGGTCTTTGGAGGAAGATAGGTTGGGGCTGAAGAGCAAGACCAATAATGTCATGATGCCTCATATGGACACACTGATTAATTTGGTTATGATTTGTACTTGATGCTTGTTTATTTTTTTTTTGAACATGCACTTGATGCTTGTTTATTTGTGTTTTCATTTTCCATTTTTTCCCATTTTTATTTATGTTTTCCATAGTTTGGTAGCTAGTCTGAAGGAATTATAGAACTCGTAATGAGTAATGTTATACGCTGTATAAGGACTGTGATTGGGCCAAGCCCAATAACATGTGTCCTCTTTATGAGTCATTACCCAATAACTGCCTTGGTTTGCTCTGCGTTGCTTTGGTAAGGAAGTTGTTATTGCTACACAGAATATTGTCAGGCAACAAAAATAAGAATTTTTTTTATATATAATTGGTTAAAATTTTTAAAGAATGTAAATTTATATATTAATTTTAATTTATTAAATAATAAATATTTATTTATTATTAATCAATTATAATTATTAATTATTTTTAATAAATAAATCAAATAAAATTAATATTTAAAAAAAATTAAAAATTTTTATAATTCTAACAACTTTTTATGTAGTGATAACCACGTCTCTTAAGACACATTGTAAAACAGGTGGTATCCAGGCATTGGAGGGCAACCTAAATGAGTACAAGTGATGATTATTAGAAGATTCTCATTTGTCATTTTATATAAGACATTTTACTGTATCTCTAAAATACCACTGATATGCTGTTCAAAAAAAAAAAAGAATACCACTAATATGGTATCTTAGATCAATAAAAATACATTATTTCAATATTTTTTTTACACTTCATCAATCATCCGACCAAAAGAGCAAGAGATGATATGTTTTTATTGGACCAGGATACAATGTCAATGGTACTCTTGGGATATAACAGAATTTTTCCATTTAATACACACAGCCCTGTAGAATCACCTGCTTCCTCTAGCTTTTCTTAATTTGTATTAAACACAAAGCACATGGTTGAAACTTCCGTGAGTTCCTCTACAAACTTTGAGCATTGGAATCTCAAAGTTGAGACCAATTTCAGTCTTTGATTAAGCTCTAATGCCTATTTATTTTGTATGCATCCTTTATCTAGCCTCTTATATCACTGCTTTCCAACTCAAGAACTAGGTTGCCGTTTTCCGATCGTAACAAGCACTATTGACATTTTGGGCATTTGGGGTTTGGACTTTCATACGATCGATAGATTCAATTTACATCACTCAATCATTTTTTTTTTTTTTTTGTGTGTGGGTTGAAAATCACTCGATCATTTTGCTAATACAATTCAGAGAAATGTAAACCATCATGGCATTTGTGTGCATGTTTCATTTCTCCCAAGGGAATGTATATAAAGAAGCCCACCCTGTTCTCATTTCATGATGGATCGAGGGTCAAAACCGAGAATACCTATAACCGGGATCCAGATTAATCCACGCTGTGAACAATTATAATGAAAAACTGTAAAATGGCAAAATGAGAAAGATACACAGTATTCACATAAAAAATATTCGAAGGCTGATAAAAAACTAAAAAAGTAATGGAGAGTTCGAACACATTTTTTTTTTATAAGAACAATGATTAGAAGTTAGTATGTTAGAGGTGTTAGTAAAAAATATTGAACCCAAAATATGAAAATGCAAATTACGGGTTACCTTCTGAAACAGTAAATTATCACTGGATCACAGTACGTGGAATGCATATTTAAACTATTGATGATGAAGACTTTTTGATATTTGGGGGTGATTCTCCTCCATAAGTAATAATAAAATATGTAAATAATAATTTTTAAAAATATATAAAAATTATTAAAGAAGTTTTTTTTTTTTTTGGTTCTTCTAAACGTGAGGAATTTAAGGAAAAGGGTACTATTTACCAGTAACCAGAGGGAATAGAACGCCCACCCTCATGCTCTAGGCTCTTAGGGATGGACAGAGACAGGAAATTCGATTAGAAATGTGAGAATTATTGTAAACATTTTAAGCCTTCAAGGTTTTTTAAAACATTAATTCATTGTTTTAAATTTTTTTTCTTATAAAAAGATTCATTTGTAGTCTTTTTTCCATTGATATATTCTTAAAAAAATTATATATAAATGTATTTATTAAAATATAAAAAAATTTCATAGTAATAAATTATATAATGATCAATTAAAAAATGAATAAAAAATATATTTGTTAGTTAAATCTTTAAAAAATTAGGAAGAAACACTAAAAATTTATATTGTTTCAATAAACCCGTATTAAAAAAGATAAAAACAATATATTCTTAAAATAAGAATGAAAGTATTTTAATTTTATTAAAATAACATAATTTTGGAGTGTTTTTCATTTTTATTTTTTTGAGTTTATGTTTATAAATGCTAATATTATAAAAAAAATGTTAGAATACTAGAATGTTTCTTTTAAAAAGTAAAATTTAACTTAAATTAATTTAACACAAAAAATATATGATTATAAATTCAATCCTAAAAGATAAAAACCTATATAGATGCTAAATAAGAAAACTTTAAATTACTTCATAGAATATTAAGAAAGAAAATAAAAAATATTAAATAAAACTATAAATTTAAAGTTGTTTAAATAAAAAATCAATTTTTTTGGGTTTAATAGATAATGAAATATTTAAGAACCTAAATTTCTAATTAATTAAATTAACATAAAATTCATTTCATTTTGAATCATATTCTTATTTTTTTAAAACCTTTTATTTAGATCTTAAATTTTTTTCTACATTTGAAATGGTTTTGAAATTCATACAATAAAAGCAAAATTTTTAAAAAATAAAAATTAAGTA